AAAGGTGGGCATCAAGTTTGGGGAAGAAGCAGTTGTTGTCAAAAAATCAAGAAGTGTCCCGGGTGAAAGGGGGGTCCCCCAGCGGAAAGGGGAAGTAAAAGAGAGCAGGGCAAAACACGACAAGGTAAAAATTTTGCATGCCGTTGAAAAGGGGCATCCAACAGAATGTGGCTGACTGAAATGGAGCCTGAAATTCTCACAAAAACAGGGGGCCTCCCATAGAATCCATGAGTAAGCATATGGCCCCAAAGCGAAACGGGAGGGTATCTCCCCAAACCCCGACATGGTGACAAAAAGTGGCCCGTAACCTAACCGGTTAAATTTGATTGAAATTTGTTACGGACAAGTAGACCAAGGGTGTGAAGGGGGTAGCATTCGCAAAAAAGCCGTAAATGGATGTAAACCTTATATAAACTGGTAGGTCATGTACTGCTGACCGTGCAGCATGTCTGCCTGTTTTATTTCCCTGTACATCAACATCCAGGGGGCCCAACAAAAAACAATATTTTTTGCTTGGTAAAGTCGGGGTACCCAAAATTGGGGTCGGGGGACTAAGGGGGAGGGTAAACAAAAATTTTGTATAGCCGTAAAAAAAACTAAGGGGGTCTGAGCAACCACAAATGATGACACAGGCATAGACAAACTGATAATGCTGCAAAAATGGCTACAATTCAGCAGTAAAAATATAGCCGAAAATAGTAAAGCCCTCGTACGACGGTCGGGAAACTTGCGCGAATCCTACGCCATCAGAAACTTAGACCATCGTGTACATGCAATAGCAGAGAATGAGAGTGGGGAATGGTCAGAAAAAGAGAGCGGGAAAGGGCGAGGGAGTGGGCTTTCGAGTAATGGGAGAGAAAGAAAAGTTCGAACCTGGAACTTCCCCCGGGGGGGGGAAAAGGGGAGATCTACATGAACATAGAAAAGGGGTAATTTAAGAGAAACAAGAGTGAACGTAAACGAAGAGAGAAGGGACGGAGTAAAAGGGTGGCGAACAAATAAAGAATGTCTACTAATATCATGACCTTCTATAAAAGGAAGGATTGTGGAAAACATGAGAGGTACAAAGAGCAAAGGCAATGGGCACACGGCGAGATAAGGATGGGAAAGTTCGCTTCTGCATAGAGGCCTTTAACAGGGGGAAAAGGGGAAAAGCACCAAAGGGAAAAAACAATCCTTGGGGTGAATGGGGGAAGGTAGGAGGTAGCAGGGGAGGCCACTGAAAGATTGGGCACCAAATCCCAAATTTCGATAAAATGAGGGGGGAATGTAGGGGAAAGGGAGTTCAACGCCCCTCCCCCTGAAAAATAGCAAGGGTTTTAAGAAGGTTCGCCAGGTGACAAGTTGCCTTCAGAGGGTAATGTGAGGTTTCCAGGTAACCTACGGTCAAAGAGGGGGCCCCGAAACCCGACTGTATCACGTTCAGGATACGGGGGCCAAGAGGGACAAAGGATGATCGGGGATGACAAGCACTAGTGAAAAATAATTTGGCGAGTTTTTGGGGCTGGGAAAATTTTTAAATCCATGTTGGGGCCCAATTTGGAAAAACGGTCGAAAAGCATGCTGGAGGGGAAAATGAATGAGATGAAGTCAGCGCCTCACAGGCAATACCGAAGTCATCAAAATAAGTTATACCAAATTTCGAGGAAGACTAGAGGCCAAATCGTTTTTAGCAAGGGGAAAAAGTGTTTGCTCAGAACACATCCCTGGGGGACACCTTCAGCTTGAATAAAACTGGGGAGAGCACATTATTTAAACCCCAACACGGAAATCCGGGCCCGTTAAAAAAGTTCTTAAGGGAAAGGGTGGTAGATTGCCTCAGAGGCCTACGGAGTGCTTGGCCCAAAAAATTATACCTCCAAGTTGGTCCCTATGCCTTTTCAAGGGCAAAAAATATGGCAATACTAGTGGTTTTCACAAAGGGATTGAACATAAAGTATCCAAGCATTAAAGGGGTCTATGGTAAGCATCCCTTACGAAAGCCCTATTGACGAGTGGGGAGACGTTGTGTGTCCAAATACCACACTCGTCTATTTACCCGGCTTCCATCACTTTGCAAACTGCACTGGTAAGGCAATGGGAATATGGAGGCTTCATGTCCCGTATGCCCGGTTGGGAAAAGGGAGAAAAATCAGATTTCCACAGCTGTGGAAGAACTCCTTGTACCAAATAAGGTTGAAAAGGCATAATAGGTTGCAAGGGCTGACGATGAAATGTTGTACATACGAATATGAATTTTTTCGGGGCCCCCTGCCGATGATCGGGAAGCTGAGAGTGTTGCCTCCAGTTTTTAAGTGTAAATGGCACATTAACGTTTTTCTTGAAAGAAGAAAAGTTTAAGGGTCTAACTTCTGGCAGACTTTTTAGGAAAGAAACAGGGGGTAATGGAGCCCCCGAAAATGCGGGCCAATGATTTCCAATTTTATTGCAACATCTAGGGGGTTTTCAATCAAAACTGGCAACCCGCAGAACAGGAGCCGGGTCAGGAAATGTTACCACTCAGTTTTCGTACTTTTTTCCAACGCACCATAGAGGGAAACAGAGGGGATGGTGGAGACAAAACTCGTCAGCAAGTGCGTTTAAGCATCACGGTGAAAACGGCGAGGATGCACCTTCTGCTTAAAATCAAGAAAATCTCTCCTGGTTCTACGTACCCGACCTGCTCCCTGCAGCGCGTTTCAAACGTATGCATAGCCCCAAACAGGAGACCACCAAGGCACCATTTTTGAGAAGCCTGCCCCAAGTTTGGGGGATAGAATGAAAGCTCGGTTAAAACGGGGGGACGAAAGGTGTAAAAGTCATCATGGAGGACGAAGAAGGAACCCCACTAAAAACGTTAGTTGTGAGTAAATGATCGCTGTCAGTAAAACCGGGAGAAAAACCAGGGGAAGTCTAATCAGCGGGAAGAGCAAACTGAGAGATTGATGCAAAGAGAGTGTGGTCCGAGGATCAAAAAGGGGGGAGTACCCGTATTTAAAAACAAAGAGGAGGTGGGGGGCAAAAAAGCCCTAATGAATGCCACAGGAATCAAAGTGAGAAACCCCCCCCCCCCCCCGGGAAATGATGGGGATTAAATCGGCAAGTAACAAAGGTGGTGGTAATGACGAAAAAAAAAAGGGAATATCCGGGAAAAGAAATGCCCGAAAGGAAAAAAGATATAAAGAACAGAGCGTACACCCCTAGCAAGTGGATAGGGTGTTGTTAATGCAGCGAAATACGAACAAATAGCTGATGATACGGAATATCAGGCGTAAAGAAGGCCTTTCTTAAAGGGCCCAAGGAAAAGGGGTCGAAAAATACAATAAATTAAGCCTAGAGGGAGAGAAAAAGCAGAGGTAATTCTGGTTCCCGAAGCAACACCAACAGGGGGAAAATGGGGAGTAACATCTAAGTTCACCCCATTACCCCTGAGGCCGCGATTTCCACTGTAAAAGGCCCTGTTTGGGAATGAAAAAGAACCTGATATCTGCAGGTAAGGTCCCTTTGGGCTAGAGGGTTAGAAAATCCCCCTTCGGAGGGAGCGTTCAAGCAAGGAGGGGCGGTGGGGCTGTGAAAAAGGAGTTGCCAGGGTGGAGAGGGGGGAAAGGACAGAGGGGGGGATCAGGCCATTTATGGTTTGGTCCCAATATATTCAGAAATTGCTTAAGTGTTTTTGGAATTCAAGACTCGTATGGGGGCAATATTGGAATGGGGGGGAGGAAAGAGTAAAGATTGGAACTGTATGGGCTGTACCAATAGGGGGGCAAAAGGGGGGGAGGGAAAGGAGAAAACGGGAAGGGGACAGAAGAGGGAGAAAACCTGGGGGGTGGGAGAAGGAAAAACTGGGAGGGAAAGGGGAGGGAAAGGGACGTAAGGGGGGAGGGGGAATCTTACACTTGTAACAGGCCAGTGAGAGGGAAGAACCCGGGACAAAGACAGGGAAGGAAAAAGAGGGGGTGGAAAAGAAAAAAGGGGGTTAAAGGTTAAAGAATTTGATAAAGGGGGGACTATGGGAGAGGTAACCAAGAGGGGGCTGCGAAGATGGGGGCCCCAGAAGTGGGGGGGACATTTTGAAAAATGGAAAAAAAAACACGGGTAGTCTCCCT